AAAATTTAATTATCTTAATTAGTTATATTTATTTATAAATTAACTTTCTAATAATATTAAATTACTTTAAATAAGAGTTTCTAAATGTCTCTAGTTAAAAAAATCCAACGGAAATGCTCTTACATGTCAACTACCCTTTTAAAATTTAAATTTTTCTAATTTTAATTAATCTAACACAAATGATGTAACGTTAAATTAATATTGTCAAAAGTTTATTTATTTAAATATTCTATCTTGACAATAATTGATTACATCCATAATTTTTATTTTTTTTAAATCATAATGTTAGTACGTAAAAATCAGTCACAAGCCAACGTAACCTTATTACTCGTGTTCTTCTTCCTCTTTTTTTATTGTTCTAGACGAAGATTTACTGAAAACAATAGAACACACGATTAGATTATTCATTTGAAACAATCAAGCGAACATACTATTTAACTTCATAATTTATTTTATACCATAATTTTTTAATATAAAATCATTCTTCCAATCATGCCTTCCTTTTTTAACAGCAATTCTTCCAATCATGCTTATGCTTTGGATTTTGTAAAATTATTCACTTTTGTATCATAAGAAGGATTACTCCAAGGAGAAACGATAATCAAACAAACAATGAAAGCTTCATTCTTTCATCCCAATACAAAATGTAAATTTCCGCAAAATGTGAAAGCAACATCAGCTTTTTCACCAAAGTTTCGTAAGCTTATAGCAAGAGATATAGCCTTGTTTGTCTGCAAGCCGCAGAGACACAGGAAAGCCACCAAAAAATAATAAATAATCGTTGCTTAGGATCAAGTATGTGGAGAAGGTGTCGCTTGGTGTTGAATACAGCGATGTGGAAGGCTTAATTCTTTGTCGCTAATTAAAACAGCGACTACAACACATAACTAACAACGTCATCAGTAATCATTTTCAGCGACCGTAGTCAACTTCACCGCTATATCTTTGTCACTGCGTCTTTCAGACGATCAGAGCTATAAAAGTTTAGAAGGTGGATCAAATGAGCATACACAAATAGCCCTACTTTAGCCAATGCATTACAAACTTGTAATGCAAAGCCTACAAACTTGTAATGCAAAGCCAGCTCCTAACAAATGATCCACTATACAGACATTACTGCTCCCATATCTCAAGAGCAACATTAGCGGTATGAGCGTTTTACTCGATTTTGTTCTCCTCTGTCGAGTTCAAGTAAATAGACTGCTTGAATAAAGCATGCCATTATTGTTCTCTTGTAGTTGGGATCCTTCCTATATCAACAAAAAATCAATCAAAAGGTTAAAAATTGTTAAGACTAATTATTTAGCATTTCATGCTAAACAAAACAAAAACAAAAGTATTCATTGTTCTCTCACATTACATGATTAGCTTCAGACACCATATAAGGTTAATTTAGCATAATCCTTTGCAAAGTTTAGCTTGTTTATGGGTTTCTAAATGGTTCTTAATCAAGGAAGAATTGAAATGCAATCATTAGAGCAAGAAAATGAGAAGACATCATAAGGCTAAGTTGCTCATGACGTTAGAAGACAAAATATAACATTATCCAATTTAAAAACATATGGATTCTCCAATTTTAAATATGTATATATAAATTTCTTCTAAAAACTACATGAAATGTCGGAGATTAAACATAAAAGGAAAACATATCTGTAACTAAGACAAATGACTAAAAAAGCAGATCAACTTGACCAAAAATTCAATTTTGTTGATCCCTTCATATCCAAACCTTCAGATCCAGAGAATAAAATCAGGGTTTTTGCTGCAATGTTCGTTCTCGATATTCAAGTTGATGGCTCACAAATTTGAGATTCAAACACACTTATAAATTTGTAAAATCAATGAAGAAACTAATCTCATTAGGAAAAAATAACAGAGCACTTACCAACTGGAGTTGATGAGGTCTCTCCAATTAGGAGAGACTACATTTCTCAGTCTCGAAACGCAAGGATGATGAGCTCCTTCACCACCACCGTTTTTGGAGTCATCAGAGAAGAAGCCACGAAATCCACCATCAATGTCACAAATTCAGTAATAGCTTCTTCCGACCCACACGATTTGCCATTAAAACAATAAAAAAACTTTCACTGTTTAGGAGTCTTAAACGTAACAACGACGATATCTTTCTTCTTCTTTCCTGAATCAGAGAAGAGGGGCTGCAAAATTTAGTAATCACCATATCAGTGACTCGAACCAGAGATACTATCAAATCGAGCCATATTATTCTCTCTAAAAGCTTACCTTGTATTCCCATGGCTTTAAGGGCTTGACTCATGTGCTTCTTGGTTAATGTAGCTAGCTGGAGTTGTTGCTGCTGAGATCACTGGAGCCCCTGAGATTCCATTCCATCCTGGTAGGCTGGTGAGTCAAATATTCAACTTCTCAATTGCCCTGCTACCAATTATTTGCTTCTATCTCTCCGTTTTCCAGTTTCTTCGTGTTGAAATCACTGATGATGGTCTGATACAGACACCACCATACTGTTCTTTTACTTTCAGGGTCGGTGCCACAAGGAGCGCTCTGCAGGATTCGAGGGAGCATGGACACAAAACCCTCTCATTTTTAACAACTCCTATCCCAAGATCAGTTTCTTTGATTCTGTTTCCTCGTGCTTGAATTGGACTGGAGCTGAATCAAAAGCTCTTGAATCTTTTTACTATTCGGGGAGATCACATTCTACTTTTATTTGTCTTCTCATCTTCCTCTTTCTGCAAGTAATCTTTTCTTGAAAGGAAAGTGATCTTTGTAGTTTGAGACTGTTTGGTTTGAACCAGATAATGTGCTATAGACTTATACCCAAGTGCAGCTATCTGGAAACAATCCTAGAAACTTTATTCATAATCAATTAAAACATCGCTAGACAAACCTGTAAAGACCGGCTTTAACGTTGATGAAGAACCAATGACGATTGTTGATTGGATCAGAATCAATAGCTTTTTGTATTGTCGTGAAATTTCAATGGCTCGATTGATCCACAAACACATGTTGGTATACTCCGAATGGTTTACCTTCAATGAGATGAGGTAAACAAAAACAACAAAGAGCGATGAGACCTATGAAAATTCGATGAGCTCCCATTATTACAGCTTCTGATTTTTGTTAGATGGTAACGAAACGTAAGAGTTTTAAGAGATAAAACAACACATCCTTATATAAATAAGGCCAGTTAAAACCCATCATTTATGATTCTGGCACAAACAAAATTGCAAATTCAGCGACAAAATAGGACAAATCCAGTTTGGATTCTCCAGAGCTCTAAGCACATGTTCACCATATTTGTTCATCAACAACATTAAAACACACTAACCACCATTAACAGAAATTCTCAATTGCTATCAAGTGCCACCCACGTCATGAACAAACAAATTAATCACCACAAGACAAAACTATCCTTACCATGTTGCATTCACTGCACTGTATACGCTGTCCCATCGTTTGCTGCATGCAGAGAACGATGATCCAACTCCCAAAAGAGAAGCAAATCATTATTGCCTTGTATGAGATCAAACTCCATAAGTTCCACCTGCATCTTAGTTGAAATTTAGATATTGCAATGATTTTATCAAAGTAATATCGATTCCATAAACAATAGATTAGGATTGATTAAATAGCGTACCTTGACCATCACATGTGAAGTCACAAACCGACACGGAGTTGGTGTCACCAGTGACGATACCTCTTCCATGGATTGCTAAGGGTCAAGGAAACCTAATTGAAAGAGAGGAAGTTAATCGATATAAAACGAAAAACATTAGGGTTTCTTTATGTTTGTCCACCGAGAAGATTTTAATATATGCCGATTTTTAAACAATTGACTTGTCCCATCTACGAAGCACCTCATCAAACACGTTACTACTTGGAATCCAAAATAAAATAAAATGAAATATAAAAACATAAAAAGCAGAGATCAAAACATGACCATGACTACTAATAATAGTACGGAAAAAAAATTATCTCCTCATTCATTGAATTTCTGTATTTCCATCACCCATACGTACGTGGTGGATTTCTTCTCACACACATCACGAACTAACATGATTCTGGATCGAAACTCCCATGCCCAGTAAACCTAAAACAAATACCAAACAATATTGGTTACAAAATCATTAATCACAAAATCATTAGCAAGCGTGAGCTATAGTACAAAAACTAAAAATCTAGGGTAACGAATGTGAATGCTAATGTTATGACCGAGACTCTATATTTCTAGTTGAAAATCTAGGGTTTACCGTCATAATTACCTTATCAAACTTTTTTCTGTTTTCTTCATCAAACACAATCGATGAACCTGAAACACAAATCAAGAGTAAATCAGTAAAATAATATAAATATGAAATTATAAAACACAAGCACACTTCATCATAAACAAAACAAACAGAAATTCGTAGAAAACAAAAATAATAACCATACAAAAAGAAATCGATTCATGAAAAGAATTGGAGCAATAGAAAAAAACATAATATTAAAACTATCTATCAAGCCTAAATAAACTGATTAGTAATTATGTGCCCGAGACTCTATATTTATAGCATCAAACTTAGGGCAAATTTCTGGTATTATCTTAAGAAAATTAACTTTTTTAATTGGAAAATTTCTGATTACGAATATTCACTTTGTTATATGGAATTATCTTCAAGATTTAAAGATTTTAAAAAGCTAAAATTCCATATTCTCTGAAATACGACAGATTTGGACCATCATACCCTCAACAATTATACTACAAAAAAATCGAATTAGCATTTTATGAGTAATTCATTAAGGGTGATTAAGACTAATCATCACAAAACACGATTAGACTTATATACCCTTAACAATTACGAACAAAAAATTTCGAATTAAGGGTGATTAGGACATTATTATAGAGATCAACACACGATTAGACTTATATACCCCTAATTACGAAGAAGGAGAAATTTCGAGAAGAACAATTCATTAAGGGTGTTTAGGACAAATCATTCTAACTTTTAACCACAGGCCTCCAATGCCCTAACTTTCAATATGGTGCGTTTCTACTTCTCAAATAATTATTGTAGAGATCAATAAAGCTTTGAGGAAAGATGATGAATTTTGCAGTGACAGCAATTTCCTCATCTCTCTCGTGCTCTCCTCTGCTTCTTCCTTCTCAAGGTCTCTCCTTTTTCTATCTTTCTTTCTCTCGCTTATTATGAACACTTGGGTTTTTTATATGGGGTTTGTTGGTGAATTGCAGGGCCAAAACGGCGAATGCAATGGAAAAGAAACGATAAGGTTGGTTTTGAAACTTCTCTTATATCTCCTCGAAGTTCGAATTAACTGATAAATTCTACAAAGAACTCTTTTTTAAGGTGGTGACATGACTAATGAACTATGTAGCGAAAGTGTTTGATGAAATGCTTGAATGAAACTTAAAAAGTTCTTTTGTTTTAAGCTCACTCTAGTTCTATAGGGAATAACCATTTCTTGACGACTCAAAACACATTCTTTGGTTTTTATCACGCAGAGACAGTTCTCGAGAAAGGTGGCTGTTTCCGGTGTAATAACTGCGGGGTTTGAGCTGAAGCCGCCTCCTTATCCTCTTGTACGTTTTCTTGAATTTGTTATCAATAGTTGGAAACGAGTATATTGAAAAGACTCAGCTTTTTAGGTGTGAATTTTGGTTGATATAATCTTATCATTGAATCAGAGCTTGCTTATTCTGTTCTAGTGATATTAGGCTGTGAAGGTTGACGGCGACTATAATATCAAAGCTATGATGTAACGTGACTTTTTAGTTTAAACGATGAATGTAAGAAAAGCTAATTGGACACTATGTGAATCACATACTCAATAAATCAATGAAATGATGGGGTTGCTGCTTTGGAAACGTATGTGAGATGTTGCTCACTCTGTGTCGTTGGCGTGTTGTATATATTGTAGGATGCTCTGGAACCGCATATGAGCCGGGAAACCTTGGATTATCACTGGGGCAAACATCACAGAACTTACGTAGAGAATCTGAACAAGCAAATCGTAGGCACAGATCTAGATACACTGTCCTTGGAAGAAGTTGTGCTTCTTTCATACAACAGAGGCAATATGCTTCCTGCCTTCAACAACGCTGCACAGGTAAATGCCATATTGCTTTCCACCTGTTTTTCTTAAGAAAAATAAAGTATAAAGTAGACTGGAACCCATAAGTACGCTGTATTCGTATAAGTGGCAGTGTTAGTGTTGAAGATCTTCAGGTCATGTAGAAATATTTCCATAGATAGGTAGATAAATTTGAACGTAACAAGAAATCACTTGGTTTACATGAAATCACTTGGTTTACATGAAATCACTTGGTTTGACCAAAAATAAAACAAGAAATCACTTGGCTTACATGCATTGACATGACACATTTAGTTTCTTGTGAACTGTATTGGACAAGAAATAACATCCAGGATAAGTGGGCAAACCACCTGACAATCCATATCTTTAATCAGATTAGGACCACTGGTCATAGTGGCAAGTTTCTTAATGTGAGATGGGTTGATTGAATGTGAATTAAAGATGTATGAGGGGCTTGCAGGCTTGGAACCACGAGTTCTTCTGGGAGTCTATCCAACCTGGAGGTGGAGGAAAGCCAACTGGAGAGCTCCTCAGATTAATAGAGAGAGATTTCGGGTCTTTCGAAGAGTTTTTGGAAAGGTTCAAGTCGGCTGCAGCTTCTAATTTTGGTTCAGGTTGGACATGGCTAGCATGTGAGTGTTTTTAACTTTGTTCCCTAGTCAAATATGAATACTCCCAAATTACTTACATACGTAAGCTTCTGGGGATTCATTGATGCAGATAAGGCGAATAGACTTGACGTTGCAAATGCCGTAAATCCACTCCCAAAGGAGGAAGACAAGAGGCTTGTAATAGTGAAGACGCCCAATGCAGTAAATCCGCTTGTATGGGATTATTCTGTAAGTGCCTAAACTTCCAATATCGCGAAAATCTTTGTTGTTGGCTACTATGGATATTTATTTCCTCACACATTTGGTCTGTCCTTTATGTGCAGCCACTTCTCACCATTGATACCTGGGAGGTATAATATATGCTACTCATCTCTCTCTCTCTATCTGAACTTCACCTAAAAAGATTGGTTTCTTGATTGCTGACATAGTTTTCTTTTTCCCTCATTGTGCCACACAGCATGCTTACTATCTGGATTTTGAGGTATTGTACCATCATAACCCCAAATAATTTTTCACTAAATTTGAAAGCAATGGTCTCATGTTTGTTGTGTTTTACGCAGAACCGAAGAGCTGAATACATAAATACATTCATGGAAAAGCTTGTGTCATGGGAAACTGTAAGCACAAGGTTAGAATCCGCAATGGCTCGAGCACTGCAAAGAGAACAAGAAGGAACAGAGACAGAAGATGAAGAGAATCCAGATGATGAAGAGCCAGAGGTCTATTTAGATAGTGATATTGATGTATCTGAGGTTGACTAAAACGGTAAAACCTGTGAAGCAATAACATTAGCATTTGAAATGTCAATTACAGACAGCAAAATTTTTTGCATTCTTAAGCCCCAAACATTAAATTAAATTTTGAGACTGTTGTGAGGAAAAAATGACTACCTTAAACAAAAACAAAAAGCTTTGTTACAAATTTACATTCCTCCTATTTGGGGTCTAGTGATGAGTTACTGCGAGGAGACCTGTGGTTGGATAAACCCAAATATCTTTCTTCAGATGGTGAATGTCTGTAAACTCTTTGTAGACCAAATGGTATTTGTTGTTGTCCATGAATTGGAGGAGAGTACGGTCGTGGATGTCTCTGTCCGTGAACTGGAGACGGAGAGTACTGTCGAGGAAGTCTCTGTCCATGACCTGGAGAGTATGAATTTGGAGGTAGATGTTCATATGCATATACGCTTCTTCCTAACCCACCAGGTGGAAGTGGAACCATATATTCAGGGGATCTTCTGAGACTTGAGCGATGAGGAAAAGATGATGACGGGCCGAGGTAACTACTCACAAGAGCTGATATTTCATCTCTATCTTCGTCTCTTTGACTAGGAAAGCTTCGATCAAGGTAGATAGGAGAATATGATGACGAAGCTACTGGTGGCATCTCCATGGGTGACAACCTTGGACGTTTCATCTGTTGGTTATACATTCTCTTGGCGAGTACCGCTTCCTCCATTAAACTGATGGATCTTGCTTTCTCTTCCATCTCTTTGTCGAGCTGAAGAGTGTCTTTCTCCAAATTAACAATTTGCTCTTTGATCTGCCACCCTGGTAGTTCTTTCACAGGATCTAACTTATGAGTCTCCATACACTGCATCACTGATGATAACGCAGCTAGCTGCTTTGCAGCCGCCTCTTTCTGTTGAGAAATAAAGATATCAATGGTCAGATTCAGATGAGGAAAGAGAGTTCATAAAGGTGCATAATGTGCAAGGGAAGGGTTCATACAAATGCCAGTGGTGACTGGGCTTTCCGTTTTGCCCTCTCAAATGACTCCTTGCTCATTCTTAAGAATGAAGTTAGGACTGAAGAAGCTGAAAACTTATCCTCCATCCCAAAGGTATAAACCATCTCAAGAGCTTCAATATGCATTCCACGCTTGATACTTGATTCCACTATACCTATGACCAATAAAATATCGTGTCAGGACCAGTTATTAACCCTAGTAAGCTGGCATTGCTTATGGCGTAATTACTATTGAACAGCAAAGTCCTATGATTTTAACTTGCAATATTGAAAACCACAGCAAACACTACTTTCAAGGCAATAAATAGCATCTCGTTTGGTTCTCCCAAACAACAATTTTGTATCAAAGCTATGGTTATGACTGATGAGTTCCAAGTTCTTTCCAGATTAGATTCTAGCTAGGATTTGGCTCAATCAGTCATTGCACTCTAAAATGCCATGTGATCTCCTAGTTTTTATTGCATGGTACATACAATTCTACTCGAAAGCTAACAAAAAACAAATATAGAACTCAATGCTTATTGATTTTATACAAAAAGGAATCACCTTTGCAGTGAAATTCATTGAGTGGATACAGAACATGGTACCTGAAATCATAGGGACAAGAAAGGGTGACCGCTTCAAAGCACCCGCAATCTCATTCGAACCACTCATTCGTATCAAATCCAACAAATCCATACTCCTAAAATTTGAAGGAACCCCAAAACAAGCAACTAGTAAAAGCAAACCCCTTGCATCCATTTGCTCTGCCTCAGCTAATCCTCCTTCACTCATCAGTCTTTTCCTCCACGCAACAGCAGCCGTCTCCGCCTCATCCTTTATACAGCTCTCAATCTTGACCTTCCCTTTACCACGATCAGGCATTAGAAGAAAAGACTCCAAAATAAGAAGCGAAACTTGTCTCGCAGAGATCATAGGCGACTCCTTAGTAAATGCTCTACGCCCTTGTAAGTAAAACTTCCCAATACAATCCAATACAAACTTAGCTGGCTCTTTAGCCAATTTCAAAGCTGAAGGAATCTCTTCCATTAGCTTAGCTCGATCAGAGATATTCGCGTAGATATATTTACGCAGACCTTTGCTACACATCAACTCACACAAACGTTCCCCCTCCGCTTTATTCGACGTCTCCGGTACAATCTCCGCAGGCTCCTCCTGAGACAATTGGCTCACACTCACGGTGGTCTCTACAGACGCATGGTTCCGCGGAGGCGATAACAACGGCTGATGGAAATTGGAAGAAGCGGCGAGTTTGGAATCAATTGCGTTTTCGATTGAGTCGATGTGCTTCTGAAGATCATCGAATTGGCGTTTGAATGCTTCCACTGCAACTGAAAACGCAGCCAATTCGTCTATGGATTTCAAAAAATGAGGCTGCTTAGATTGACCGATCGAAATATCCATAGTTGTAGACTCTGTTTTGACAACCGCCGGTAATTCTCCACGTCGTCGTTCAGATTGATGTCGCTGGTGCAGCAGTGGAATCGCCGCCGTTGAGGGTTGCGCCGCCACCGTCGGTGGATAATTGGCCATGAGAATGCGGAGAAGAAGAAAGATTGCAGAAAATTAAATAAAAGCCCTAATTTCGACTCTCCTAAAAATCGTTACCTCAAAATCTTAAATTCTATGAAATTAGTCAAATTACCAAATTTTATTGAACTGTATATTTTTTTATATCAATTTTTTTTTTTGCCAAATCGATAGTTAAGTAGAAATAGTAACAAAGTACAAAACTAAAACTAAAAGCCAAATTAAAACAAGGAATTCTCATAGAAAATGCTTTTTTTTTTTTTGGAAAATCTAACGAAAATACCATTAAAACCGAATAAATCCAAATATAACGGGTAAAACGCATGTTATATTACATTTTTATAGCCTGAAAATGACAAATCCACAAACTATTCAAAATATAGCAGAATCGACCACTCTAAAACTTTTTATATTGTGAAAACTTAGCTATTTCCGTCTTGAACTCATAGAAGAGATAAGCAACATTCAATAATGGGGGTTCATCTTCTTTTAATAGCATCTTCCCTTCTAACCGTCGATATGCTCCGCTTCCCGTCTTGGTGACGGATCTTGATTCTACCGAGGTAATAAAAAAAAACACACCCTAATTTGTTTGTTTTGTTTAATCTAACTATTGAAAGATTTATGTATTCTTTTGTGTATCTATAAATTTATCAACATTTTCTTCATGATGATATATCATTTCTCTCTCTGCTATATGGTTAAAAACATATTTTTTAAATGTGTGTTCTTAGAATGTTGTGGTTTTTAGTAAACACTATTTTCTCGTTTTTTAAAAATCTATTTTAATTTGATAAATATTTTGCATCAAATTTATGAAGAATACAGTGTGCAAACATATATTTTTAAGGTTCCTTTAAATATAATGTCATTAACAATATTAAACATATTTTGCATTAAGCTTAAAAAGAATGAATATAATAATACATTTATCCAATCCGATATGAGTAGGCGCATGAAAATATCCTAGATGTAGAGCCCAAAATGCCTAAATATTCTTAAGAGTAAATGTCGTTGGTTGAAAAGAAACAAATATTTTTTTAATTGCTTATTAAGTTTTCTATGTTGTTCACTCAAAAGTAAAGCCAATATTGTTGTTGCCAAAGACGACACATGCAACAACAAAACGGTGAAAGAAGCAATAGCTACTGCCCCGGAGAATAGCAAAAAAAGATACGTTATATACGTGAAAAGAGAGTGTGTGTAGTACGAGATCGTCAACATTGGTCTAACAAAAACAAATTTAACCTTTGTAAGAGATGGTCAAGACTTTACAATTTTAACCGGAAGTTTGAATGCAAAGGATGGTTTCAAAACCTTCGATTCGGCAACCGTTGGTACGTAATATAATTACCCCTTTCCAACAAGAAGTCCATGCATACAACAATATAATTTATGAATTTTTTAAAATTATAATCTAGATAAATTTCGATGCAAAGTTTTTATAGTGACTACACATCCATCAATATGTTATGATTATTGAAATAATTTAAATAATCAAGAGAAAAAATTGATCAAAAGTAAGCAAAAAATAAGCAAAACATAAGTAAATATTTTTAAAAATTGACAAACAAAATTCACAGATTCAAAGTTGAGATTCTAAACAAATAGAAATAAACATAAGACCATAACTTAGAGTCTTTGGCTGCTTCTAATAAGTTATCATATTAAGTTGATAATTAATTTATTGATAAGTTACTACATTAAGATGATAAATTAAGAAGACTCCTTTAAAAAAAGGTTAGAGAAGAAAAAGAATTAATTATCAGCTTGTTCTAAATCACCAATCTAAACTTTTTCGATGCATTTTTTCTGTTATTCTCTATTTATAAATCGACCACATAATCAAATCATAAGATTCTTCGTTATGATTTTTGTTTTTAATCTAATAAGAGTAGTTTGTATTATTTTACTCAAATTTTAAACAAAAAATATTAAATAATTAGCTATGAATCTACTATAGTGATGATTGATTCATGTTTTTTTTAGATTGGATTAATAAAGCTTGAAAATGTTGTTAAAATAAATATTTTGTTTATTAATGTAGTTCTATCACAAAACGATGATATTTTTAAACCCTGGGGTAAATTATTAAGGGTTGTGTTTATGGAATGCTTTATGGGTGGCTTGATTGATCTAATGGGATGGATTCCCTAGAATAACATCACCATTGGAAGTTTGTCCAGACTATCCTATTGTGAGTACCAAAACAATGGCCGAGAGCAAATATAAGCCAAAGAGTCTAGTGGAAGGGGTTCAAGATAATCACACATCTGAAGGAAGTTATCAAGGTTACGGTGGGAGAGTTAATAAATAAAGACTTATGGTTGGACGCCACTGGAATGCCTTTCGAGGAGGGTCTCTGAGATATTCACCCTTAAAAATGAGATTGTACAAACTAAAATGAATGTTCTGTGGCGTGCTATCTAACCCAAATGATTGCACTGATACTATATTTTACGAATTCTATCATTTTCAAAGATACCACATATTTTCACTACAAATAAAGGAGAATTTTAAACGCTTAAACATTATAATGCTATCAACTAAAAGTTCAGAAATAAGAGTTTATTACCTAAACTGTGAATTTTGTGCGATAAATTCCAAATTTTGTGTTCTTTTATATATATTTTACATCAAAGAAATTGTAACTAGAGAAGTTATCTAAACTACCAAAAAAGGAAAACATTTGCAAGTTTGACCTTTACACATATGGCAGCTATTAATTCAAATCTTTTTATTATGGTACTTAATTTGTCAGTTTCACGACAAAAAACAAATAAAATCTGTTAGCATTTAAATTTGAAGATTTTTTTTTTGTCAGCGAAATTAAATAGAGCTCAAAATATCCATTTCGGGGAATGTTGTTTACATATGTGACATGAAGCGGGTATGTACGAACTTTTTGTGCCTGATTATCCGCTTTTACATTAACACTAAGAGAAATTAAAGATAAAGAGAAGATTAAAATTTTTTGGGAAAATCCCAGAAAAAAACCTCCAAGTTGAAACATTTTTCCAACTAAAACCCTCCAACTTTTTTCGTTCCCATATATATAAAACCTACAAATTGAAAAAAAATTTCAATTAAAACCTTCAACTTTTTTCGTTCCCAATTAAAACCTCCACCTAATTAATTTTCTCTAAAGAAACTTTCAAGTCGTCAAACTTGAGCTCGATCAATGGTTGACCAATGATCGCTGGTAATTTTGTTCGGAATAGTTATTAGTCGTTGACGACATCTATTTTTCGTTTATTTAGTTTCCAAAATTTTTTGTGAACCCTAAAAATTAGAGAAAATGTATTCTAGGGTTCGTAATTAAGATTTTCATCTTTTCTATTGTAACTAACACATGTAAATTTTGATAACTAAATAAACGGAAAACATGTCGTTAAAAGCCGTTTACTGTTAGTTAATCATTGATCAGGCATAAATTTGACGACTTAAAGGGTTTTTTAGAAAAAAATAATTAGTTGGAGGTTTTATTTGAGAACGAAAAAAGGTGGAGGTTTTAATTGGGAAAAAATTCAATTTGAAGGTTTTATATGGGAACGGAAAAAGTTTGAGGTTTTAGTTGGGAAAATGTTTTAATTTGGAGGTTTTTTCTAGGATTTTCCCAAAATTCTTCCTTTAAATTTGAAGATATGTTTGACTTTATATGAATCTCAAAGTAGAACCTCTATAAATTAATCCTCGATAAAATAATAAACACTATAAAATAATAAAATTCTTCTGTCCTAAATCGGACAAGTATAAAAATTGACAAAATTCGATAAAATAGTTTTTTTTTTAGAATCCTTATGTAAATATATTATCCCGTTAATATCATAAATTAATAATCATATAAATTTACATATATATAATATATATATATATATATATATATATATATATATATATATATGGGAAAACGACCAATATCAACCCCAACTATTTCCATGCGGCTTTTTAAAATCCAAATTCTGATCCCCTGCACTTATCAACCCGAACCCACATAAATTTCAAATAACAAACATGAACGATGTAACTGTTAGCCAATTTCAACACATACTCGTTAAATAATGTAATAAACCTAAATTATATAACATTTAGCCAATTGAATAAAAAGAATGATTCAAATACAAAAGGACAGATAATTATGATTTAACAATTCTAATCGACATTAACAAGTACAAAAAAAAACTATGTTGAAATTGGCTAACAATTACATTGTTCGGATTTATTTTTAAAATTTGTGTGAATTCGGGTAGATAAATGCATGAGTCAGAGTTTTGGTTAAAAAATGTCGCATGAAGATAGTTGGGATAGATTTTGATCGTTATATATATATATATAATTTAATATATATTTTATATATTTTATCTGAAATTGAAAGTTTGTCAGAGCTTTTTTTGTGTAAAACAATTGTTTTTGTATTTTCAAACTATAGAACTATCGCATTGTATTGGGAAAACGGTTTATTTCCCCACGAGAAGTATCACATCATACCAGATAGAGCCCATTCTTTGACCGGTCCATATCTCCATGAAATCAAAGTTCTATTCCTATTTCCCCCCGAATCGAAAGTTTTATAGCTTAATGTCCTCGAGTCAAAAGTTTGAGAAGCTAAGAACATTGAAGCTAGGATAGTTCCAAGGTGTTTACTCTGCTACAGAATGGAGGTTCGACGGCGTGGCTTTATGTGGAGGATTGCAGTCGTTGTCGATTAAGAATTTCGGCGATTAAACTGATATGGATTTGGTGACTATAGGGAGAGGATGTTGTAAGTTTATTACCATCGAATTTGATTATTGGTTAATTACAATGAATTTCTCCAATGAGCTTTTGTAATTTTGATATCAAATTTTCCAAAATTGTTTTTGTTGTTTGAAGAATCGGGTGAAGAAGAAGATGATATCGGAGCATTTACGGATGGGTCATGTTTTAATTCAGTTGAGAATCAAATTTTAGTGGTTTGGTATTCGGTTTACTTTGGGTATAAAGCACATACCGATATAACCCAGATTCGAGGACATTTAGCTATAAAACTTTTGATTTGGAGAGAAATAGGAATAAAACTTTTATTTTATAGAGATATGGACTGAGGTCAAAGAATGAATTCTATCTGATATGATGCGATACTTCTCTTGAAAAAGTATACCGTTTTTCCCATTGTATTAGATATAGTCTACAACACTATAGTTTGAAACTATACCCAAAAAGACCCAAATTGGCCTCTTGTTCCATTTCTGGCACACTACGATTACAAACGACGTGGTAAATGGGCTTTATCTCAAGTATGTATGTTTCTCTTAAACGACATCGTTAGTTATAGAGGGGTTAGGGTTTGATAGCGACGTCGTTTCAAATTCCTTAAAATTCTAAAAAGACCAAAATTTGGCCCACTTTGTTTCCAATTCCGGCACCGGAAACACCGCTCAAACAACTCCAATCACAACGCCGACTAGAAACAGAAGTCTCCGGCGAGCTTCTCCCACCTCAAAAAAACTCTCTCTGGTATTTTGTCTCTTCTTCTCTTTCGATTGTCCCACTTGGTATTCTTATTAGTGGTCTTGTACGAAAGTGTAAAACTCTTAAACTTGTGATTCTTGTTTTAGTGTTCAATGGCAATATAAAATCCTACAGTTGTTCTTGTCTCTCTGTAGTTATCTAAAGTTGTGTCCTTTTTCTTCCATAAATCTCAGTGCTGTATAAACTACATTGTAATGAACCGTGCGCGTTCATACATTTCCTTGAGGCTGTTTAAGAAGTCCAGCTACGTCAGTTCCCACATTCCATGGAATCAATGCTTCTATATGTCTTTAAAATCTAGTTTAAAGCCTTCATGTGTGACTGCACTTGGACTGTCTGGTGTTCATTGCTATTCCTCAAGATCAAAGACTGCCAAATCAAAGATGTCAAGCCCTGTTTCTGTTTCGGATTCGGATAAAGAGAAAGACGCCTTTTTCGTTGTTCGGAAGGGTGATATTATTGGAATTTATAAAGATTTCATTGATTGTCAAGCTCAAGTTGGATCTTCGGTGAATTCATCTTACCTTACAATCTTTTGTATATAAATACTTTTTTTAAGATGGTATAAGATAATAACAGAAGCTGCTGCTTTTTTTTTTTTGTTTCGATGGCAGGTATATGATCTTCCAGTTAGCGTTTATAAGGGTAAGGGATACTCGTTGCTTAAAGACAAGACGGAGGAGTATCTTTCTAGTGTTGGGCTGAAGAAACCACTCTATGTTTTTAGAGCTTCAGACTTAAAAGAAGATATGTTTGGAGCTCTTACACCTTGTCTTTTCCAGGTGAGATTATATTGTGATCTGCAATTGCCTTGATGAAGTCTTTAGATAAAACTAAAGACAAGAAAAAAGTAAGCCATAAGAACAAGGATTTTTGTACTCTTAGGTTGTAGTTTGAAGAACTAGCTGAAGTTTAATGATTATGAGAAAAAGGATTAAGCTCATTGCATGTGTATTCATTTTTCCCAGGATCAACTTCCTTCAGCTTCCATGTCAGTTGTTAATCCTTTGGAAAAGCTTGCTAAGCAGAAGCCATCTGCTGATACCTCATATGTGAGTGTTGTGATATGTTTGTATATACCATATTTCATAATTCCAATGAACTGGATGCAGAATGTTTTGCTTAAGTTGATCTGTTTCTCCTTCTCCTCTTGTGGTAGGAAACTTGCATTATTGAGTTTGATGGTGCATCAAAAGGAAATCCCGGTCTTGCTGGCGCTGCAGCTGTACTGAAAACTGAGGACGGAAGCTTGGTATGAATCTTTTTGAACCACGGGTTGTTAATTAGTGACTGCAGTTCTGTTTCTTAATATCAATTTTCTCAAAAACAGATTTGTAAAATGCGGCAAGGTTTAGGAATTGCCACAAACAATGCAGCAGAATATCATGGATTAATCCTAGGTTTGAAGCATGCTATTGAGAAAGGTTACCCGAAAATTAAAGTGAAAACTGACTCCAAGCTAGTCTGTATGCAGGTTCGTTTATCTTTGTGCAATAAGGTGATTTAATGAATCATATGTGCTTCTCCCTCCTCACCTTCTCAATTCTTTCTGAAACAATAGATGAAAGGTCAATGGAAGGTAAACCACGAGGTACTCTCGAAGCTCCACAAGGAAGCAAAACAACTTAGCGACGAATGTCTCTCTTTTGAGATCAGTCAAGTACTAAGGGTATGTTTCTACTTGCATCTCTTTCTCTCTGTAAATGAATAGTACCGCATAGTTCTCGTCTTGTGCTTGAGAGCAAGAGTTCCTACATGGCTTTTTTTTTTCTTCTTTCTAATGCGAGTTTGTGCCATTGTGGGCATTTTTCTTTATAGAATTTAAACTCTGATGCGGATGAACAGGCAAATATGGCTGCTCGTCTTTCTGGTTAGACATCCTAGTCTCCCTTTTCTCTGCATTTGACATTATGGGGATCAAATTTTACAGAAAGCTAACCAAATCTATGATGGATTATTTACAGAAGGAGAAGTTGAAGTGGCTTAAAGGATATTATCGGTGAACTAATATAGAGAGCTTTGGTTTTTCTTGTCCATGCTAGTATGCTACATCTAAACCTGAATCCCCTTATCTAACAGTGTGAGTGGTGTCTCTAAAGAACACGTGCAGCGATTCCTCTTCATCGAAGGTCTCGGCTTATACCATCAGGGATCAACCACTATGTAAATCTTTGGTTTTTTCTTAAATAATAATAGGAATCATCTGTTGGGAAATGTAGGAACATGACTGTGGTTGCTTAAATCAATGTAGAAATGGAATGGTTCCAACTTTTTTCTTTATAAAGGATTAAAGAGGAAACTAAAGAAAAGAGTATTGAGAATTTGTACATGAGATTTTTCAAGCCAAAAATTAGTTGACTTTATATAAACCCTATAAGAATTTATCATCGAGGAAATACTAGAAGAGGTTAATGTCAGATAATTCAAGATCTTCAATTTCATGTTAAGCCATTGGCAACTCTTCTTTCGCCCATACAATCGCATGACTCCGTTTAGAAAATTAAAGCATAGTTTTTATACGAGGAGTAACGAATACTTTAATAATTTAATAGTTAATACTTAATACAATTACCTCGCAGGCTCGCACTAATCACTATGTATCTTTTATATATACAGGTTTGCAACAAGCAATTGAGATTCAGGTATAAGACGAGTGAGTATAATCAAAGAATCTTTATATACAATCCTCCAATGGTGAAACTATGCGATCGATGTTTTGTCTGTAACTCGTACAGTGGAAGAATCTGGTTTGGTCCGAACCGATGGGTTTCCGGTATCATCGAGAACTACAAAAGCAGTGTCACCAGGCTTGAAGCTCCCAGCAAGAAAGGCTTCGCTGAGTGGATCTTCAACAATCTCTGTGACAGTTCTACGGAGTGGCCGTGCACCGTAAGCCGGATCATAGCCTTGTTTGCATATGAGCTCCTTGACTGGTTCAGACACCTCTAAACCGACTCCAAGTGCCACTAGCCTCGACTTCAAGTCTTGTAGCATCAGGTTCAAGATCTCCATCATCTGCAAAATCAGAGTTTAAAGTTTTTCATTAAACTAACAAATCAACCACCTCTACTTCATAATGTCTCTGTTTTGGTTCGGCATAAAGCTATTGCTATTGTATGGTTCAGTTTTTATGCCCAACCCTACATTTTTAAAGGTTAAAAGTGGAGAAAATGACTAACCTGAGCCTTCTCGAGCTGTCGGAAAATGACGATTTCATCTATCCGGTTCAACAACTCTGGACGGAAATAGTTCTTGAGTTCTTCGACTACCAAAGCTTTCATTCCGGTATAAGATGCTGCCTCTTCGTCATCATCGAGGATAAAACCTATTGAACCATGTCTTCCCTTTGCAATGGCCGATGATCCGACATTAGACGTCATTATGATTAGTGCGTTCTTAAAAGATACTCTCCTTCCCTGTAAACAGATTCCAGAAACAGAGCCCATATAAACTTCAAAAACATGGAAAAATGTGCAAACAAATCAATAATATCCAAAGATGAGTTTCAACTCTAAAGGTCTCTCGATGAAGCAAGAAAGCTCAGGTACCAGTAAATGTTTTGAAGTGTAAATTTAGGACATCAAACCTGTGAATCGGTTAGATGGCCATCTTCGAACAGCTGGAGAAGAATATTGAAGATATCCGGATGGGCTTTCTCTATCTCATCAAACAATACCACTGTAAAAGGACGCCTCCTGATAGCTTCCGTAAGCATTCCACCTTCTTCAAAGCCAACATATCCGGGAGGAGAGCCTATCAACTTGCTCACAGTATGACGCTCCATGTATTCACTCATGTCCAATCTCAACATGGATTCCTCCTGCAATAACCAATGAAAAACTGGGGATGAAGGAATCGGTTCAAAAACCAAAATCATTTGTCAGCATTACGTTGTTAATGAAGCTGTACCGATCCAAAATAATTTGCTGCCAGAGCTTTTGTAAGCTCCGTTTTTCCAACCCCTGTTGGTCCACAGAAAAGCATAGCGGCAATTGGACGGTCAGGATCTTTTAAGCCAACCCGGGACCTCTTAACCGCTCTAGATATGGCAGCTACAGCCTCATCTTGACCAACAACTCTGCTTCTAAGCTGGTCTTCTAGACCCATAAGAAGCATTCTTTCATCTGCAGTGATCTGCTGAACTGGAATTCCAGACCAAGCCGATGCAACGGCTGCAATATCATCAGGTCCCACCAGAATAGGCCTGAAAGCATAATCAAACTACAGTTATGGAGGTTCCTTCATGTGTGTTCTTAAAACAACTTTTTGAAGGTTTCCCCTCAAGACCTAAATTTGTAAAAGAAGGAAGTCATACTCATCGTTGCCTGCTGTAGGCGGCAGAGAAGACTCTTCAACTAGTTCACCAGACTCAACTGCAATGGCATCACCATCATCCTGCTTTTGCCTGCTTGAGAGAACCTAGGTACAGAACAAATATTGAATCTTTTAATAGGTAAAAATGATCAACATCCAATAGCACTGCAGGACTAATGTCTAGTTCTTTTACCACTTCGTGCATGGCCTGAACTGTTTTGATCTCTTGCCAGTAATCATTAGGTGGCTTCGATAGGATACAGATTGCATCTTCCTTTTTCTTCCTAAAAGCTTCAATACGAGCTCTGCTTCCTGCCTCGTCAATGAGATCAATAGCTTTATCTGGAAGAAATCTATCAGCGATATATCGTGATGAAAGGTACACTGCGGCATCTATGGCTTCCATAGTATATTTGCAATTGTGATGGGCTTCATATTTTTCACGAAGGCCCAACAAAATCTTCACCGCATCTTCCTAAAATGTCGTTAAGATGAATATACTAGATAAGAAAACAGGTGTCGGTTGGTTAATAAGATAGGAAACACTGGTTTGAAAAGAAACCTCGCTTGGCTCGTTAATCAATACTGGTTGGAATCTCCTTGCAAGGGCTTTGTCCTTCTCAAACTGACTCCTAAATTCGTCAAGAGTTGTGGATGCAATGCACTGCAAATGGTTGATTATTAGAGCAAGCTTTAGCACCATATACTCCCAAAAAATTGCATTCATTTTCACTCAAATCTTTGAGAATAACCCAAAGTTGTACTCTTTCTCATGCACAAGTAAAAGCAGCAAAACATCGATTCATTCAGTATCCGTACCTGAAGTTCACCTCTTCCAAGTGATGGTTTCAAGAGGTTGGCAATGTCAAGCCCAGAACCTTTGTTCCCTCTTCCAACTGTACCAGACCCAATAAGTGTGTGCACTTCATCTATGAAGAGAATGACCTTACCTATGAGAGAACAAAAAGTAAGAAAAAAAAAACTGTTAGAAATGTGCCATGCTAATGTTACAGTCTTTGATGTATTAAGATATAAGATCGCTAACCTGATTTTTTAACCTCGCTTATCAAAGCAGTGACCCGCGCCTCCAGTTCTCCCCTTTCTTTTGCACCGGCCATTAGCAGTCCTATATCCAGGGACATGATGCGTTTCGTCTACATATAGAAAAACATAAAACTGGTCATGTACACGGCTGACCAACTTCAGATAAAAGAATTTCATATGATTAGATGCAGTTGCACACCAAGAGAAATCCAGGAGCATTTGCTTCTGCAATACTAATTGCTAGTCCTTCAGCAATGGCAGTCTTCCCAACACCAGCTTCACCAAGAAGAATTGGGTTGTTTTTAGTTCTGCGGCAAAGTATCTGGATGACTCTCTGAACTTCTTTTTCCCGACCAATAACAGGATCAATAAGACCCTCACTAGCACGTGCTGTCAGATCCACACAGAACTGTTCCAGTACATTTTTCGCTGATAAACACAAATTTGGTTAACGTTTTATCAGTATCTCTCTTCTCAAACTCAACAGAACGAATAAAGAGAACATAATATCCATAAAAACATTACCTTTCGCTTTTCCACCAGCTCCAGAACCAGCAATTCGACCAGTAGGAGGAGCCTCGAAGCTCCCTTTAGATGAAGAAGATGGTTCTCTTCCATCTTTAGCAATCTCTCCTTTAAGTCTTGTGAGCGCTGCTGCTGTGAGCAAATTCATATTTGCTCCCAATCTATATATCAATCACACAAACAAATTTCAAGATCAAAATACAATTATACAAAGAAAATAATCTGTTGATCATCCAATTTCAGCATCTTCAACATTATATGAGTCAATTATCTATGGAAATCGTAGTTTTCTGCAACAATTCAAGGTGAGCTATATACCTCTTGAGGACTCTGCCGGCGCTACCGTCATCAACGGTGAAGAGTCCGACGGCTATATGCTCCGGTGCTATATATTGACAATCCATAGTCCTAGAGTACTCAACCGCAGCTTCAAAGACTCGTTTCGTACTGATAGAGAAAGGCATGTCCGTCGACTTCGAATACGAAGTAGAAGAAACTTCCTCCTGTTTCGAATCGGAATTAGCTTCGTCCCAAATACTCCAAACAGCTTCACGAGCCTTGTCGATGGTGATACCGGATCCAAGGAAACCTTGAGGATCACGATCCTCAGCGATCAAACCTAAGAGAAGATGCTGAGTGTAAACCATGTCTTTCCCCAACGATTTAGCTTCCTTCTGAGAGAAGATTATAGCTCTGATCGCTCGTTCGGTGAACCGTTCGAAAACCGCTGAAATCGGAGTGAATTTCTTCCGTTTTCTTCCCGGAAATCGTCGGAAGTTCGTCGGAGTGGTGGAGAAGCGGTGGATCGTCCGATTGGAGAGGGAGATTCCGAGATATGAAGAAGCGAATGAAGAAAGTGAAGAAGCGGCGATGGAGGTGACATGTGAAGAAGAAGAAGATGAAGAAGAGAGGAGACGGCGTGAGTGAAGCCTTAGTGGTGAGGAAGTAGATAACACCTCCATGGTCGTCGTCGTCGTCGTCGGTGATCAGAAAAAGTTTCCGGTGAGATTTTTCTCCGATTTGTGACAAAATGATGAGAATTATTGTTTTAGAGGAAAATGGAAAAAAAAAAAAGGAAGTAAAGGAGAAGAAGCAAAAGGAAGGGATGGAGTAAGATGACACGTCAAGGCAACTTTTTTTTTTTTTTTTTTGTTATTCGGTTATTCTTGGTTCATTTATATAAACGAAGTAAGGGACTGTTTGGCTACGGTTTTAATCACGTTTGCGTTTTGATAACCCCATAAAATCAACAAATGTTGAAAACACATAACGTGGGAAAATAAATTAAAGACCAAACGCAGCACATTGGTGGTGAAAGAGAAGCTCAAGTTGCACACGGAAACAAAGAAAACGGTCCCAATCCAAAGATCCAGAATA